GGCAACTTACGTTACCTATTATTATTATTATTATTATTATTATGATAATAATAGTAATATAAAATTGTTTGTGTTTAACTATATATTAACTAAATTTTTTGTCACATTTTTTTAATATTACAATACATTTACCTTGCCTCATTAGATATATTTGAGTCATCTTCTGCCCGACATGCAGAACTATTCTTGAAGGCAGCAGCAAATACTGTGTTCATCATCATTGCAGTTTCCCCAGTTTTTCGATATTTGATTTTTTTTTCTGTATTTTCTTCATCATTAATTATTGAAGTATCACCTTCACCCTCTACCATTGCATTTAAACTGTCTTCATTTTTTGTACTTCTATCATTTTTGTTTATTTCAGGATTATTAAAAGTGTTATTTTCACTTGAATCTAATTCTTTTTGCTCATTCTGTTCAGAAATTCCATGAAGAGATTCTTCTTCAACTTGACTGTCATTTTTTTCTTTTTTAATATTAATTTTTTCTATTTTTTGTATAGAAAATTTATGTTTTCTTTTAGGTCTATCGTTAGCGTTTTCTTCCAATTCATTTGCTAATTCCAAATAGTTTATTTTTCTTCTCTTCCTTCCACTTCTAGATTCTTCTAATTCTATATTTTCTACGACATCAGGTACTTCTAAGGCTAGTTGTTCCGATTTCTTTTTACGCCCCCTCTTTTTGGGCATTGGAGTAAAGGGCACCTCCCCAACATCTGTGTTCATTACAGATTCATTATTTTTTTCTATATCTGAAATATCTGTTGTAGAAGGTGTTAAATCATTATCATCTAATATATTTAAAATTTTCTTGGGCCTCCCTCTTTTCTTCCCAATATTTGAACCATTTTTCTCATGATCCTCAAGATCAATAATGTTATCCCTTATAGAACATGTATCTTCTAAATTTGAAATTTTCTTTGGCCTTCCCCTTTTCTTAGGTAATTTTATATCTATATTTGATTCAATTTTCCCAAAATTGAAAATTTCACTTTTTGCAGAGTCTTTATCTTGGACTTCATTCTTTGAGATGTCTAGTTTTAGTTCTTTAGAACTGAATTCTTTATTTTTCTCTGCATCTACCTTATCTTTAACATATAATTTTTTATGTACATCAGAAAGCTCATTGTCCATAACAATGAGATCATCTGAAAGGGAACCATAAATCATATCATTTAACGAGAGTTTTTTAGACGAATTGGGCAATTCATTTCCAAAGCAATTTTCTTCAATTTCTTTCGAAATATTAATGACATCTGACATATTCATTGTATGTTGATTTGTATGCTTTACAGAATTCTCAGATTCAGTGTCTTTAGTTTGCTCATTAAGATCATCTACAACATAATTCAATAGATATTTGCGTTTCTTAGGAAGAATAGTTGATGTTTTAGTAACGAACTCAAGTGATTCATTTGAATTATTTATTTTACTACTTAGTAATGGTTTTTGTGATTTTTGCACATAGAAAGTCACTAGCCCTTCATTTTCAGTACTTTGTATTATATCATTCATGTTGTCTTCCTCTTTAACGACAACTTTATTTTCTTCAGCTAATAGTTTATTGCTTGTTACTCTATCCCCTTTGTTCTTTATTATCAAATTAGGATGCTTGTTTGTATCTCTACAATTTGTATTTAAATTTTTCTTAATATTTTCTTTCCTTAGTTTAATACTTTCTAATCTGACTGGTTCCAAATTTTTCTCGGATTCCTTATTCTCAAATTTTACAAAACTGTTTTCACCATGAAATAATTTCTTGTTAGCTTTACATCTATTACTTTTAGACACCAACTGTTTTAATTCTCCATCTGATAGGCAGACTGAAGTATTACCAGTAATATTTATTTTTTTTTCAGTACTTGAGGCACTATTTGATGGAAGTTCATTTGTGCCATTATCTGGATTTAAAATCTCAGTATTTTCTAACGTGGTACATGCTACTTCATTTAATTTCTGAGATGTACTATTTTCATTCTTTTTACTATCTATCTTCGTATCACATTTGATATGATCATCAAATTCTTGTAATTTTTTAGACAAGCCTCTCTTTAAAGTTTGTTTAAATTCTTCGGAAGTTTGAAAATCCTCACTATTTTTAGAAGACGATGGAAGAGTAATATCCACCTTTGTATTCTCTTGAATTTTATTATATTTAAAATTCAAAATTTCAACTTTCTTTTCATTTGATTTTTTATTTAAAACGTTTCTATTTTTCCCAGCAAGTGTTAACTTTATATTTAGATTAGTATTTGCGTCTATCCTAGAAGACGATGTATTTAAGATATTATTTTTCTTATTCAAAGTTTTAGAACTAAGTATTGAGCTAGAATCGTTTTGTTTAATTTGTGGAACATTTTTCTTATCCTTATTCTTAAATTCAGAATTCGAATTTGTTTTCGGAACAATGTCTGTTTTTAAATTTTTTACTTTATTTATTGTAGTACATTTGGCATCTTCACTGGATTTCCATTTCTGCCTTTTTCTTATGTCGGTATCATTTCCTATATTTTTTGTTTTTTGATTGTCTACTGATGTTTGTATTATTTCTGTAATCAATCCTAATTTTGCTAATTCATCTGGTGTTAATATAATTACATTTGATTTTCTACTCGGGCAAGATTTTTCTTGGGAACACTTATTTTCCATAATAAGTCAATAAAAATGTGACCTTAAACATATAGGTTAAGTGGTTATATTTTTAACTAAATTAAATTTTCTAAAATGTAAAAAACAAAAAAAGTCATTGTATAATAGTATATGAATTTAACAAAAAAAAATTATTTATCCTTCATGGGTTTTGAACTCCAGACCCTTCGACTACGAAGCATATACTAATACACTGTACTACTTTAACAAAATTAAAATTTTTTCTACGTACTTACTTGACACAAATTAAGCAACATGATATATTTAAATAAAGCTTACCTTATATTAATTATTTTATTTTTTTCCTCTACAGAACTAAAAACAATACGTTTATACAGATTGGCGATTGGCAGACAAGACAGACAGGACAGTCCAAGTTCATAGATAATCTGAGGAGAACGCAGTCTTTTCCAAAGGGTTTGTTGATTTGTCGCTTATTGAGGAATCGAGCAAGCGCTAAACACACGGATGATGAAACCTAAAAAAAGAATAAGGTATACAATGCAATTTTGTGTAATGCAGCTTATTTTGAAAAGAGATACAAAGATCATGTCAGTGTAAAGTTTCCTTAAATAAATTGAATTCATGGGCTTAAAGCATATATATTTTTTTAATTGTAAAATAAACTTATTTTGTGGCACCAGGCACCACTATATTTTTATAAAAGTGGGTATGTTCCTTACAATATCTTTTTGACAGTAGGCGTGGGTATTAACATCTAGATGCTCCAGATGTGTTTTGTTCTTTTCTAATTGTAGGAGATGAAAAGACAAAGAGCTACATCTAGAGCCTCTAGATGTCAATACCGAACTTGCCTAGTAAATTATAAAAATATATGGTTTTATTCCGCAATAACCTCAAAAATTGCAACAGCCTTTATCAAATAAATAAAATAAATAATATTTAAAAAATAATAATATTTAAAAAGTTTCATATATTCATTTTAACCTCAGAAACGTAGACTGTAGACATTGTAGGCAACTTACGTTACCAACACGAGATTTAAGGGTTGCCCCCCTTCTCTAGATTATGTTTACACATAACATTGTTGTTACATATTATAGATATAGAAGATATACGTATAACGAAATCGAAAATATAATTGCAAAAGAAATTTGTGTAACAATATGTAGTGCATATACATTTTTAAATGAAACGGTATCTCTGTCAATTGTGTTTGTTTCCGAGACATTTTTGGAGGTTTCTTCCTTTAGAAACATTGATATGATAATTATTAATTTATACATACCTATAAGCTTCCAATTTTTGTAATACTACAACTAATTATTAATCAATTTATTTCTGGGTTAGTCCCACAAATTTAGTTATTACAGGCTTTTATAAAAAAAAAATTCAGATATATAATATTTGTCTTTATTATTACCAATTCTAATTTTATTTAGGAATAAAAATTATATTTCTATTGGAGATAAACAGTAACAATATGTAAAAATTAAAAAAATATTTCACTTATAAGAAAATATTAATTTATTAGTGAAATAATAAGTGTATCAAGTAGATAGACTAAATAATTTCAAGGACACGTTTAAAATCTCAAAACTTCAAAGTCAGATTTGATACTTCGTGTTTTAAAGCAGAAATTACTGTTTTGAAAAAGAAAATAAATAAAATAGGAAGTAATCGCCCATTGTGTGATTTCGCAATTACGATAACGGAAACTCAGAAATGTATAATCTAAAATTTAGATTTGTCTTTAGTCTCGCAAATTTATGGATTATTATTTTACATACTGTACAGCCACATTGATAGTTTAACAAAAAATTGTCTAAAGGAAAGTAAGAATCACTTCAAAATTATTTTAGGTCACTATAGTACTCTTAGTGGTATGAATCAGTCTTTATTGTCTGTTTATTACGAATAATCATCTTGATCATCATTTGCAGGCAATGCTGAAGCTTGTGCCTGTTGAGCTGCAGCTTGTAGTTGTTCCCACTGCTGCTGGTCAGCATAGGCCTGTTCCTGTCTTGCTTTAGCGAATAGCTCCTGCTGTTGTCTTAAAAGTTCTTCTTCTGGTATGCCTAAATTTTCGAGGCGAGTGCTTTGCCGCCTACGTTTGGCTGCGACCGCTTTACAATCCTTTAACACTGCTTCTGCTTCAGCGTGGTAATCTCCAAAACCCAATTTGTCTAATGCTGAAATTAAAAAATAAATATGATCATAAATCTAAGATAAATTAAAATTTACCTACCCATCAAAACATGTTCTGCGTTGATAGTTTTCTTATGTAATTGGTTACATATTTCATTAGCTTCTGAGCTTAGGAGGTGTATGAATTCAGTGCAACAATTCAAAACAAGCTCTCTAGCTTCATTTGCTATCCGAACAGATGGTACTAATTCCTTTATCATTTTGTTAATACTAGCTCGTGGAAGGGTCAACTCATCTTCTTCCGTATTTCCTCCTAGAGGTCCAGAAGCATTTGAATTTGCCATTTGTATAATTTAAAAAATATGTAAAAGTTGCTTGCAATGTTTGCATACAAAAATACAAAAACAATATACCCAAATATAACCTCAAATTTCAGGGATGACGACGATTGATTACGTCACTATCGCCAATAACGAACGAAACGAGGTAAGCTCAAATGTGTAAGATCGCGAGATTAGAATCGTGACTTGAAGTCTAATTCCGAATGGAAACCTTTTGTACATATAATAATTAGTTCACTCTTTTATTTAGTGATTGAGAAAATAAAATATATGCAAATCTACTATTTCGGTGTGTACATTCTGCAACACTTTTATCTCCAGGACCTATGGAATCTAGAGTCGAGTAAATTTATCTATGTCTAATGTCTATAGATAAAGGTATAAAGGACATTTGTTCTCTATATTCTATTATTTCTATGTCATGTGTCATGTGCGTCAATTCAGTTTTTGTGTTTACGGCTGCTTTTGTATGAAGTTAAATAAACGGTACCTATTTTCGAACATTTCTATAGATGGATTATACAATAGAAATAGAAAATATGCTTTTAGGTAATTTCTTGTAAGTTTTATTAAGTGCTTTAATTTCCTTTTTTATTTTATTTTACATAGGTACATATACATATAGTAGTCGTAACATTTACACTTGGAATCTAAATATATGGTAGTGATATCACTGTATAAGTAAATTATTTTTTTTAAATTATTTACTTATACAATGGTGATATGCACAGCTTAGAAACTTCCCCAGTTACTACTGTTACTGTTACTAGGTACTAGAGTAGTAGAGATCTCTACTTGCATTCTAGATAAAAAAGGCTACTGGCCTTCTACTAAGGATATGTTACATCAAGACTATTAGGAAAAAGGTCGATTCGTAACATATAGCTCTTAAAAATATTGTAATAAAAATATAATGAAATGTAGATTTGAAAACTACAAAATAGTTATAGCTGTTATAGATAGCTTCTGGCAGTGCGAAAATAATGCCCCGGGTGAGGATCGAACTCACGACCTTAAGATTATGAGACTTACGCGCTGCCTACTGCGCTACCGAGGCGTATTGATAATCGTTTCAACATATTGTTATATTGTACTTTACCATTTTTAAGGGGAAAATTAAAATTAGATACTGATTAGAGTAGTCTTGTTTCAGAATATAAATAGTTTTGTTATGTTGGTTGTATAATTGTAAATTGTATAATTAATTATATCCGTATATCATATCCGTTTGTTTGAACATCGCTATTTTTTATCCTCTTTCAAGTTTGTCATATTCTATGTATTTAATTCATAATTCATATGAGTAAATAAATAAGAGGATTTTATTGGATAGAGCTGACCGAGTACGTATATATCTAGGGACTTTAGGCGCATGCATTCACTGAGGCCATCTCGCGTTAGTGCGGCAAAACATTGTCCTTAGAAATCTGCAACCACATATCGAATCTGTAGGCTTTTTTTCGCCTCTGAATATTGGTGAATATCGAAAATGAGATTTGATGTTTTCCTTGTTATTATATGGAGAAATATAAGTTTGAGATTCTAGACGACACAACTTGATTAAAACACAGTACACTATTGCTGTTATATTTCTGTTTAAAATATTTGCAGTAGCTTATATAATGTTATGGTGATTTAATGAGATCACTAATGTATAATGTATTTTATGTCCAAATCTTCTGCAGAATTCATTTAGCATACTTTATTTTAATAATTAAATTACTATTTATAGTTTACACTTTGCTAATAAGAAATAAACAATAAAATGTTAATTTAAAATCTTTATTATTGTTGAACACAATCTTAAATACAGTATGAATATACAATTAATTCTATATACAAACATTAACTATACAACTCTTTGGTATTTGTAAACAATTTTACAGATTATGTTCTCTATAATACATTACTTTATAAACATTGCACATTTCGTTTGAATACAAATACGCACATTTTCAATTAAAGCACGACAGATCTTTTTGCCTACAACTAATCTTTGGACAACACGAAACAGAAACAAAATGACATAAAATATAGAGATTCTAATCTAATCAAACATTTTGGATTTACTTACTTAAAAATATTAGAAGTGAAAATGGACAAACTCTCAAATAGGTACATGCTAATCTATATTTATTTTTGCAAAAAGGTTAAAGAATGGGATTATTCACACACAAAAATTAAGTGCACAAGTACATAATCAGGGACAGCTACCTATAAGAATACATTTTAATTGCATTGCGTAAGTATTTCTAATCCTAATGTGGCAAGAAGTTATTTCTGTAATATAAAATGTTACTTTTTTCTGCTTATTAACAATGAGAATCTTGCCTTTATTAATATGTTTACAAAATACTCTTTGGTTTACAATGTACAGGCTGCATATCACATCCAAAACAATAACTAGACGACACACACAGAATTATATACAATTTTTACAATTTCCACAATAAATTATATATAAAAATAATTCTCATAGTCTGCATATGATGGTTGCCCATTTTTACTCGTCGATAGTTGAGAGCTGCTTCCCCAAATTTTCAATTCTGCATTTTTGTTCTTAGGTACAAGCAAAGCCTCTTTCGATTTCTGCGACTTGGTTTTCTCATCTTGCTTCTTTTCAGGAACAAGGGAAGTCTGAGATTTTGAAAGCTGCATTTCACTGTTATTGTTGATGTTGTTGTTGCCAACTGGCTTGGAAGTCTTGAACAATCTGGAGGCGGGGAGAGGCGGAAGTTCAGATACCCAGAAAATCTAAAAAAAAATTGCGTTTTTAAATGCTAATCGGTGTTGGCTGGACTATAGAAATAGAGGGTGGTCCAACTTTATTTAGGTACTACGCCCTTTAGTTTCATCACTTTACGTCAACCATCCCCAGAAATTTCTAAGAAAATGTAGCACTTTTAAATTTCAGCACCCTGTCGAAAACAAATCATTTTATGGTTGGTACACATTTATATGACTTTTTGCTCAAAACTCGCCCAGTAATGTTTTCTGATTAAAACTTGGACCATCCTGTAGATCCATATCGATTAAAAGCCAATGAAAAAAAGAATTATTATTAAACATTGTTAGGACATACTAATGCTTTTTCTGCTTTTCTAATTTACTTTAGAAATGCTACAGAAGCAGCTGAATTGGAATATTTCAATCTAAGTAAACATACCTTTCTCCTAGATAAGGGTAGGTAGTCAGGGTTTCGCCTGATAAGAAAGTGACACTGGTGTGAAGGCAGCCAAGTTTGTTGCACTTGCAGTGGCCTGTCGTCTGGGTGCAGTTTTCGTTGCTGTTCCTTATCTGTATTGACTTCGTACAGAGAGAATTGCTCTACTCGCTCTTTGCTGCTGTAACAGTTAAGTAGCAATGCAATTAATTCATCCACAGTTGTTCTAGCACTTATGAGTAGACTCTTGTATTGAGAGTTGCTGTTCAGGACAGAATCATGGACTTTGACCAAACCTCCTCTTCTCGTCTGAAGAGAAAATCTGAAAACAGGAAGTTCAAATGTAATAACACTACTATTGGTAGTATTCTAAAATATTTCTACTTTGTTTATGTGGGTCTACATACTTTGAGTCTCCTTTTGGGTGGCAACTCTGTAAAATAGCAGGTCTGGCATCATCATCCAAAGCCAAGTGTGTACGGACTCCAGCTTTTCTTACAGTAACCTCCATAGAAAGATAAAATAATTTCGGGTCTCGGTGTTTCATCTTGTATTTTCTAAGTAATGTGTCTGTGACTTCTTTGCAGGTAGTTTGAAAAGTTATGCTAAGAGTTTTGTATTCGATATCGGGCCGTAAGCATCTTGCATATACTTTTATGGTTGTCTGAAACAAATAGAAAAAAATATAAAACTCGAAGATTTAAAATAAAAAAGTTTCCGGTACCGGGAATCGAACCCGAGCCTCCTGGGTGAGAGCCAGGTATCCTAGCCACTAGACCATACCGGATTGTACTACGTGATTTCTTAGAACATATTAGTCACTTCGTAATATTGCTTATAATTATAAAAATTATTTTAAAGTAGTATAAACAAATATATTATAACAGCAAAACCATTAAAATGTATTAACAGTATCGCGAATATAAATACTAGAATCATATTCGATGCAAAGTAATAAATCATTGCCTGTCAAGGGATCCAGTGCAGTACGGTTTTAAGGGGTTTAGAAATTTAATAACTTCTTTATGCATTTATGAGGGGGTGAAGGGATCAGTTCACGTCTGGCAACCCTGTTTCTACAAAAATTCCTTTATTTTCATAAACTATTCATTTTAAAGGTAATTTATTATAAATCCAATTTGTTGTTTAAATTCCACATACGTACTACATTTTCTCTCTGTACACGCCACTATTGTTTACTTGCTTTTTGAAGGGTGTCTCTGATTTACGACCAAGCTCGCCATTTTAGTATTTGACGTATAACCGACCACTTCGTACACTCGATGTACCTAGGCGACTACAGATGATACTACTAGAACACAATGAGTATAATGCGGTTTTACATCCAATTTCATTTTAAATTTGAAATGGTTCATCTTACGCGTCCTAAAAATGATGACACGATTTTTCTTTGATAAAAGACCGACAATTTTTTGCTCTTCTTTGCATCGAATACGATCTAACTATAGCTATTTAAAATAGTGCCGTATATATTTTAAAACCCAAATTTACTCCAGATTTGACAGAAAATGAGATTCCAAAGTAATTGTCTGTTAGCATAACTATGTGACGAAAAAAACATTCCATTCGATATTAAAGAAGTGGCTGCTGTCACCACTGACCAGTTGATTCCAATGATTCCAATTCTGGAAAAGTTGCAAATTTTTAAGATAAATCGCGAATTATAATTTTCTTACTGTAAAGCTATTTTCGATCATTTTTAATGGTTACATTGAAAATTTTGACAGTTTAATTATTTGAAGGTTATATTAGTAACTGGCCTGGGCGGTGCATGTTGCCGCGATAATGAATAAAAATTACAGTAGAAGTAAATATGAATAGCTTGCGGCGTCGCCACTTTCTGGTATTTGAACGTTAATAACAATTCTTTACTAAAAAAGTTTGTTGACAGTTGATTTTCTACTCAATACAGATTTTTTTAATAAAAAAGGGTGATTTTCGATACCAGAAATCGAACCCGAGCCTCTTCCTCAAGTATCCTAGCCACTAGACCATATCGGATTGGAAAACTGTTTGTTGACAGTTGATTTTCCAATCAATGCAGATTTTTCTTCGAGAAAAAAGTGATTTCCGATACCGGGAATCGAACCCGAGCCTCTTGGGTGAAAGCCAAGTATCCTAGCCACTAGACCATATCGGATTGGAAAAGTGTTTGTTGACAGTTGATTTTCCGATCAATACAGATTTTTCTTTGTGAAAAAAGTGACTTCCGATACCGGGAATCGAACCCGAGCCTCTTGGGTGAAAGCCAAGTATCCTAGCCACTAGACCATATCGGACTGGAAAAGTGTTTGTTGACAGTTGATTTTCTGGTCAATACAGAATTTTCTCTTTTAAAAAAGCGATTTCCGATACCGGGAATCGAACCCGAGCCTCCTGGGTGAAAGCCAGGTATCCTAGCCACTAGACCATATCGGACTGAAAGTTTGTTAACTAATTATTATTTTCTCACTAGTTTAGGTCCCTCTTCACTAAAAGAAGTTATTTCCGAAACCGGGAATCGAACCCGAACCTCCTGGGTGAGAGCCAGGTATCCTAGCCACTAGACCATATCGGATTGGTCGAAATTTATTTTGCCCACAGGATGAAACGGCATGGTCAAATTTTTCCAAGGAAACAACTCTTTTCAACTACAAATATGATATTTTGTGATTCCAATTGTTAAATTTAGATAATTGTTTATGGAACAACACAATACACTGTTGGCAAATGTATTTAAAAACACCAGTTATAAAGGAACCATGTAGTCATCTAATTTGCCTACAAAATTTGATGGATCTTATTGTTAATGAACAAATGAAAAATTCTAATTCAAAGATAAATGAGTATATTTACGTATTTAGGTAAGTTGATTAAATTACCTTAGGTACATAATTTACAATGATTTTATTTACTTAAATACACGGTGCTCGAATTTTAATCATGAATTCACGAAGTAAAAGGCACTTGTAATTGGCCAAGGTTATATAAGTAGCATTCAAATTTCACTGTTTTGAGACACACGATGGTCCAGTTTTTTTTAAAAAAAAAAGAAATGCCTAAATATCGTTTGAACAAATGGAGATATTTAGATGAAATTTTGTGCGCATAATACATGAATAAAATCAAATCAATATTGCAGCTGGTTTAATGTCCGACTAAAATATTATGGCACATCGCTTTTCTCACTTTTCATCACTTTTTTGTAATTTTTCAAATAAATTTAACGAAAACGATTTCTAGCTATTTGTGTATTATATATATTCTTACTAACAAGCTTGCCTATATGCAAGTAGTTATACTTATATTCTGTCTGCATATAAAACGATTTTACACAAATGTAGAAATATAAAACAAAATAAAAAGGACATAAATATGATTTGATTAAAAATACTATGAAATAAGGAACATTTTTAAGATGCCTCTTACTGTTTTTATTTTAAAATTCTGTAATAGCCACATTATTAAAAAAATCAGTTTTGCCAAAACAAAAATTTTTACTCACGTGTACGTTCTGCGCGGACACCACGTGCCTTCTAATTCCATACACCGAAAGCGCGTACATTATGATTTTTGTATTACATTTATCGTTCACACAACTACTAAACTCATATTCACGGTCGGTCGACTTTTCCAAGAGCGCTATCTTAAAAGCCGGAGGTACAGTCACTGTAGGAGAGTGAATGAATGAGATAGTCTGGATTTAGATTAAATCGACACCTAGAGCGTCCCGATGCATAACGTCTTCCTGTGCTCTTGTCACATAAAAAAGAAGCACTTTACTTTGTATGATTCCCTGTAAGTATGATGAATGGGGTTCTTACATAGGCGTTCCTAGCCAAGAAGTGATAGAAGAATGGTCAACTGAATTAATAAAAAAATCGGTATCGGGAAATATGTGCAGATACATTTTATTTAAATTAATAGATATTTTCTAAATAGGTTGGAAGCAATTAATTGAGTTGCAGTACTGAAAAATATTTTTAAATTTGCCGCCTCCATGAAAATATATTTCTATCTTATTTGCATGAATATTTGATACATTGTTACCAAAGTTATTCCATCACTCTGGAAGTCACATGAATTTTAGAATACATTTTTTTTTGAATTTATATTTCAGTTGAAATCATCACATCAAAGAAGGTATAACGATGGTAAAGTAAAATTTCTCCGAAAGATCAAATTTTCAGACAATTTCATATAATATTCATAAAAAATGTCAAAGACAACAAAATGTTACTCATACAGTAATTTTACTAAATACTTACCACGTTATTTAAGGTAGGTTTAATATTAGAAAAGTTTTTCAAACTAGCAATTTATTATGGTCAATTTTATCAAAACCTCTATAAAAAATAAGATTCAGACAACGTTATACAGGGTCGGAAAATTCCCATGGTTCATCGGCCGTTACGTGAGAGCGATAAAGAAAGTCATATAAATCCGTGCGATAGAGAAAGATGGCTATAATGAAGGCGTTTTAATAGTCACCGCCCATTTCGCCCTTCCACAAATAGGAAGTGGATCTTACTTGTGGAAGGGCGAAATGGGCGATGACTATTAGACGCCTTTATTATAGCCATCTTTCTCTATCGCACGGATTTCTATGACTCTTTATCGCTCTCACGTAACAGCCGATGAACTATGGGGACTTTCCGACCCTGTATATGTATTTTATGAAGTTGGTAAAAATATGCTGGCGAAATTTTGAGACCTTTGGATGTTAGAATCAAAGAACACGGTACTATATTAAAAAGGGAGAATTTGAAATGATACAAAAATTTTTGGAAAAGAAAACAATACGGTGAAGAGAAAATTAAAAGAGTCCACTTTTATTTGCTAAATGGTGATGGTGACAAATATATTTCAAATTGTTTCTTAAATTTTGCTAATTATTAGTTGAATATTCCCAACATTTCTCTTACGGAAGACAGAAAAAATAAACAAAAAGCTGCCCCATTTGATATGTCAATTTGTAATGAGGACGAAAACAGAGATTTTCGTAACAACTGTATTTTGAAAATTATTATGTACCCCATTTATTTATTATTTTAGTTACACTTATTAAGAAATATATGTGCATATTACTGACTTACTAGATATTAAAGATGAGTTTATAATTCTCAAACCGATTAAAACAGTTTTATAATTATTTTATAATGATTTATCGTTCCGTCACAAGATATGTACGTGAAAAAAATAGCTCTCACTAGAAGTAGATTTGACAAATATCAAAAAATATATGGTAAAATTTATATGATTTTTTTAACGGCATCTGGACTTTAAATCTCAGTGCAGATACTTATCGAGTCATACATTTTTAAAAGTCTGAACTACAACTGGTAATAACCAAATCAAAATAGAAATAAAAAAATTAGATGTCGTTTTTAGAAATTGTATTTTTATCTAAGTAGAGTGTATTTCCATATATTTTGAACCCCACCTAAAACGCTGTGGTTTTTGAGGATGCAAATGTAAAATTATGAATTTTCCTGAAATGCCAGAATTTTCTATAAGAACAAAGATACAGTGAAGGCTAAATTATGGAACAAATTAAATAAAACTGTAAAAATTTTTTTTATATAGAAACTCCGAGACAGGTCGATTTTATTTTGTTTTTTGGCTGTTTTTTGCGTGTATCCGATTTTCTACAGGGCGATTCTAAAAATCTGCACCAATTTTTTTTTTTAAATGGAACACTGATGGATGACATTTCCAACTTTGTTTGTTTGTTGTTCCACTTTGTTTGTTGAATACTGATGTTACAACTGTTATTCATTTGTTCTAATGTAGTAAACTTTTTTCTTTGCCTTCTGTTTATTGAGCACTGTTGGTTACATCTCCCTTATTATTAAAGATAGACCCATTAATATCTACATTACTGTATTCGTGCGATAACGTTCTATCCAAATCTGTAGAAATATACAGGGTGTTTCATTAAAAAAATATATTTTTTTGTGCACCTTTTTGAAGCACCCTGTAGAAAATTGGATGCACGCAAAAAACGGCAAAATACAAATTAAAATCGACCTGCTTTGGCGTTTTTATATATAAAAAAAAATACAGTCGTATTTAATTTGTTCCACAATTTAGCTCGCTCACTGCATATTCAAATAAAGAGATTTTAATTTTTTTAACAGCATATTTTTACATATTTATATGTAACATTTTTTTACAATAATTACAATGGAGTTCTATATATGATAGTAAGAAAGATAAGTATGACTAGTAGACTCTGACATTTCATAAATTTTTATAAGTATTTAATATTCTTTTTTCAAAAATTAAGTTATAGGTGGGGTGCAAAATACAGGAAAATACACTACGTGGAAAAAAATACTTTTATCTCAAACCAGAAAAATTCCTACGTCACTTTAATTGATGCTATAAATATTTACTTACATTATTCTGAAACTTTTTAATTTTCATGTTCATTTCTCTCCTCGCTCAAAAACTTTTCAGACGTCTATGTGTTTATGTCTAAGTATGTTTAGGAATTACATCGCGTTGCTACTGTTGGAATTATGGTAGACATATTTTAGGGGATTATACTTTGTTGGCATTTTTTTATTTTGTCAGTCAACGCTCTACAAGAGTTTAAAAATTAAATTAATTTATTGTGGAAAGATTATAGTACATTTTTAAAAAATATTTATCTGTAGTTCTTCTATCCTTTTAAATTTAAAGTTTTACGAGGAACAAGTGTTATTTTTTAAACAAATACCAGGAAAGGAATTTGCTTTTATGAATAGCTATCTTTTTAAAATTAATTTTTCATATATTTAATAGTGTATTATATAAATATGTTTGTCTCGCTTCTATACTTATACTTATGAATTTAAACAACAGTAACAAAAAAAGTATAATACTGCAGTAGCATCATTTTTCTTAAGAAATCAACGATTCGTCTATTATAAAATTAAAATTAAATAAAACGATTCTACAAACGCATTTAGTAACAACAATAACAGTAATAACATCGGACAAAAACTATTAACCGTTCCACTTTGTAGTAATAGATTAAATAAGTGACCATTAATTTGTTCCAGTATAATTATCTACAATGAAACTGAATGTTTTAGACTTCGATATCCGTTCCTTTTGTCAGTAAGAAAACAACCGCATTAGCCATTAGCTCATAGTTATTTCATACGTTGTTGTGATCCAAATTACAATAATTTTAAGCTGGAAATCCTGACACACTTAAAAAAAGATAATAGACGCATAGGAAAAATAATTAAAAATACGTATAACTTAATTAAATCAATAGGATCATAAACAAGTGACATAAACAATTTGCGTCTTAGCCTTGCCTTCCATGACTTGGTAATTTGATCTGTCTAAGTATAAAATAATGCTTCAATTAAAACTTAACGAATTTTTTTATTGACCTCAAATTAGAGAATTATGTTAAACGTAGATAAAACAGATGTACAGTACTGAGTTTTATGCATAAATTTGAATTAGTTTTTTTACGCTAACTAGACACAATTTAGAAGATGCATAAATTAATTAGATTCTTTTGAAGAACTTTCTGCAGCAAACATTTTATAAGATAATTTAACAAACCAAACTTAAATTTACGCGACTTTTTTCTAAAATAAAGAGGTTTAGCGAATATTAAAGGGCATTTTGTTGTGACTTAAAATATTTCAGAACAACTTATTCTATTTATGGTCTCTCAAAATAAATGTCTACCAAATTTCATTACGATATACAGTGTGTCCAAGATAAGAGTGGGATAGCATTAGGATCTAGGAAACTGTAGGAGATACGGGGTGGCTTAAATAAGAGAAAAAGTTGTGTTTTTTTATACCTAACAATATGCCGTTTAAAAAGTTTTAAAATTTCGGGTAGTTCCAGAGATATCCAATGGCGTCAACATTTTTGCTATCCGACGTTTCGTCTTCGAGGGGTCATCATCAGGTTAATTTTTTTAAATACGTCGCTGTTATTTTAATGACAAAATCTGAAGTCATTTTTAATTCTGAATTAGATAATGTTTCTATTGTTTAAAAAGGTTTTTTAGATTGTTTTAGCTATAATTTTTCCTGAGTACGGTTCTGAACGCTTTCAAAATATTTATTGGAGGTAGTCATAACAGTATAAAAGTCAATACAGCACAAAATATCCAACAATATTTTAAATTAAATTAATTTTAAATGTGAATCAAAGGACCCATCTATTTATTTTTTTACATTCTATTATCCTTAGGTGTAAAAACCAAAACTTGGTAGAACAAAATAAAACAATTATAATAACTAACATATCTCAGTAATACCTACTTTCTTAAAAAATTTACAGGCTTTGGCAAAAAAAAATATTTTTTTTACAATAGCTTCGTCACTTTTTAAAATATTTCGATGAAAAAAGCTTACTTCTTCTCTAAAATATAAAGGTCAGTAGTACACCTAAAACAGCCTTTTGTTTTTTACTCTTAGAGGTTTTGAGAAAACATAGATTTTTTTAATTTTATTTCATGTAAATAAGGTATACTCGTCGCAAAGGCTATAATTTAGTAGATAAATGACTTTTAATAGAATTAAGTCGGCTTAAAAAAAAGTTACAAATTTAGCAAAATAGTGGAA